TGTATATATATATATTTTTTTTTTCTTTAATGGGGCTGGGACTGCAGAGAAGCTTCTAATAATTAATCTCAAAAAGATGGTCTGGTTTGTTTTTTTGGGAATTCACCAACAAAAAAATAAAGTCTTCTGTTTTTGTCACAAATTATGGAATGTCCTGACAGACTAAACTCTTCTCAGAGCAATTAAAGATGATTGACATCCTTTTTGTTACATTTAAACCCCAATAACTATGTTTTACTTGCATGYGAATTGGTTCAGAGCAATGCTCAGAACCCAGTTTGTGTTCACAATACTTCATTTAAAGTTTAAATTAGCACCCTGAACAGATGGAGGTGAAAATTTGARTGTCATTTAAGTTTCTACCAATATGTCCCTATGCCAAAACCACAACCCCCATCTCATTTATTAACACCATAATATTGTTGCTATTTTTTCAGATTGCTGTCCAAATCCCTAACAGTGTGCTTTGAGGATATGATTTGTTCTGTTCCAGGGTTTGACTGTAATAAATCCTTCCTAACAACTTTCTTTGAGAGATAAAATATAAAGGCTAAGATAAAAGCAGGTCATAATCCCATGTTGTGGAGAAATATAAACTTTTAGTTGTCAGTATAACATTTAAAGAGCAGAAACAAGTGAAAGCGGGTAAATGGAAATTTAATGTGTGGTGAATGCTATTTATGGACAAGGGATGAAAAACATCCTAATCTCAGTACTCTAAATCAGTAGAGTAAAATCTATTGGTTTGCTACCCAAGGGTCCTATTTTTTAAATGTTAAGATTAGCCAAAATTTCCCTTTTAGTCCCTTTTTCAAAACACATCTGGCAGTCATTTTCTTATGTTTGATTTTAGTTTATATGTTTGCAATTTTTAAATAATATCCTGCAAAAAGATACATCTTTTTAATGGTCATCAGTCACGAAATTTTATTAAGATCTTTAGGACATAAATAAGAAGTAACTTTTAGTGTTAAAGGCACATTTGCTGCATTGCTGTCCCACATGAGAATAATAAAGCAAATAAACAATTATTCTAAAGAAGAGTGGTTGTAGGATGTTTAGATTTGTGCCTTGGAAAATGGTGATCTTTCCATTTGTTTGGGGGATTCTTGATCATTTAAAAGGTTAACAGATCTCTGTTCCCAAAATGAGTGAGTCTGCACATAAACAAGTACAAAAATATTTTGCCATTTAATTAATAATAATTAAAGGACATACATCCAATTTAGAAAAAAGAAATTGCTCTAATCACAAAGTTTAACCAAAAATCCTTTTTGTGAGATGACAAATCATTTGTTAGCCTCTTGTCTTTTCCTGCCATCAGGTATTCATGAAATGTTTCTGCTTTTCAATGCAGGTGAAGTCTTCTATGCTCCTGGTGCCCATAAGCTGACCTTTGACGAAGCCCGCAAAGAGTGCGAAAAACATGGTGCCGAACTGGCAAAGACTGGTGAGCTGCATTTCGCCTGGAAACGTGGACTCCACCAATGCAACTATGGCTGGGTCCATGACGGCAGCGTGCGACTTCCGATTATTAAGGCCAGTCCTAAGTGTGGGCAAGGCAAAACTGGTGTCTTCAGCTTGCATCGCCACAAAAATCAGACTGGCTTCCCAGAACCTACAAGGACGTTTGGAGCTTATTGTATTAAAGGTAAAAGCTCATTTACATTTTTGCACTTTATAATGCCTACAAAAGACTCCATATACAAGTTAACACTAATTCCTGAAATCTTGATTGAGATTTTGTGACATGATTTAGTCAAAACTGATCAGAACAGTACYACCATATTCTTCTTCACCTTACTTTTACAATTGCCATTGCAGTAGCTCATATGGAGCAAACTGAGATTCACAACTTCCCTTCATTCCTCTATTCTGAATAGTGTGTGTCTTTAGAGAACCAACATTCACTAGTCTGGGTTCTTTCATCCATTACATCAAACTGATGTCATGTTGTCTCAGAGCAAACTGACAGAAAAATACTTAAAGTGTATCTCACCCACCCGTGAAAAGATAACTCCGCCCCTAGGCAAAATTTGAAAAATGCATCAAAGTGGGTAGGGGAGGGGGTGTGGGTAGGGGAAGGTGGGTTAGAGAGCGGAGGTGTGGCCAGGACGAGAGAACGTGACAGGCAGCTGGCATTAGCATAATTGATGCTACATGGAAAGTGACCACAGTATCGCAGACAGTTACATCTCTGAACGTCTGAGGTGGAGGATTTTCACCCCACACCAGCACCGTACTGGGGAGGAGGAGCGCTCCGACAGCCTGACAGAAAAAAATAAAAGCATACAGCTGCTTACATGATCGCTAGTTTAAATCAGGAATAAAATTAGTTTACCTGTATAAAGAGCCCTAAAAATCCATAAATTTTGCAATAAATCCTTACATCTCGCTGTGCAGGACGTACTGCTGTGTGTGTGTGTAGAGAGCAGTGCAGCAGTCAGCTCTCCCCACTCGAGGCTGAAGGTCAGACAATCATGCTAAGCTTGCTAACTGTTCCACCCTCTGACTGCTGCAGGGGCGTGTCTTAGAGGCTTTTATACCAGAACACAGCCGCTGTGA